ATCAAAATAAACTGTCTCTTTACTAACTTCAAATTCAAAATCCCCATTTAGCACTTATGTGATCAACATAATAGCTAATCACATTTTTTAAATTGATACGTACCATATGTGTAAAGTTGGAGTTGATTAATATCTTTTCCAATTTAATTAACACCTAAAATTGAAGAGTTTGTTATTTCTGCAAGTTCCATTCGTTTAAAGGTGATTGTTTTAATATTTAGATTTTTTTTCTTTATTAATTCTACTAAAAACAGTTTGATGTTTTTTCATAACTGAAAAGCGATTCACAGCTGCGGCATTGCGGAATTATTTTTTGTTAGGGCGGACTTTACACTGAAAATCGATATAAGATCGATCACACCACGTCCCACGAGGTGACGTTTCGGCGTCGTTACTCCGAAACGCTCTGTATACGTCGACTGATTTGCGGTTTGAGAAAAACGCGCGGCCACCGCGCGCTGTCCGGATGACCGTGCGGAATTTGACACGCGTGACTTTGAGCCGCGCGTAGACCCGATCCGGATGATCTCGTTCGCGAAGTCGGCGAAGTCATATAATTACGGGACGCGATCAAAGGATGTGGAACGTCGCGCGAAAAAGCGCGCGTGACCGACTCGCCGTTGTCCCCGCCGCGCCGCGTCGCGCCGTCGCCGTCACCAGCGTCATCGGCGCCGCCGTCCTCATCAACGTCGAAAGAAAGAAAGTGACCGCGCGTACGAGCGCCTGTCCGGTGTCCCGCGTTCGACCGATAAAAAAGAAGGCGGTCGACGACGAGTTTTCGCCGGTGAAAAACAATCCGGCAGGACCAGGATTACTCAGAGATATATTCCTTAATGATATTCAAGCGTTTCTTATCGAGCTGTTCGGCCCGAATTCTCCTACTTTTTCTTTATTTAATCGATGAAGCGTCAGTATTGCTGCTTCATACTCAGATGCAAAATTACAATTACGATAATTATAAAGCAATTGAAATAGACATATGAAGAAAGAGAGAAAAGAAGCATAAAAACTAATTAATAGAAACATATATAAAACAAATATAAAATTATGTAATATTGTTGAAGAGAAAAGTAAAAAAATTTCAGAAACAAAATTAGGAAAAATCGATAGCATTTATATTTCTCGTACGTATTATAATTTCAATAAATTTTGATAGTTTTCTGTTTGAGAAAAAGGGGAAGGGAGAGCGAGGAGAAGAGATTAGCGAATCAATGCAAATGGCGAATCGACGAATTTCCCCTCCACATTATTCACGAACGTTATACGAATCACGAATTGCGAATACGCGCATTATATAGTCTGGCGCTATAGCTTATGAATTTCTAATATCGTCGTTTCGCCTATAGATACACGGTCTACGTCTTGCTGCGCGTACTTTTGATAATTGTTGATTTTATGTAACCGATGAAAGACACTCATCTTCGGGACAACGCGAAGAATCGCGAGTCTCATCGACGGCGACGGCGCGAATAAACAAATATAAACTATTGTCATTAAAATGCGTTCTACTTTTGGATACAAAAACTTTCAAAGGATATCAACCTGTTGCTTTCTGTATCTTAACCTTTCTATCTAATTCCGAAATTGCGATCAAATCCGGTTTTCGATTTTCTGGATCGCCGATTATTTTTAGAATATTGCCACGATCGTGAGCATGGCGAGAGAATAAGCGTAATCTTTCATGTTACTCAAAACGGAACTGGTGAAGGGACAAGAAAGAGGAAATTTAAAAATGTACGAAAGCAATAAACTGAAAAATATAAACGAAAACGAATGCCAACGAAGATTTGCATTTGGTCCGCAAATCCTAGCTACTTCCAAGCTGGCGATCCCAAACGGAATTTGCCGCAGCCGAAAGACTTTAAAACGTTATATGTTTCTTTAAGGAAGCGCGAGAGTCTCTTCGCGTCTCTCACGGATCTCGAGTTCGCTCATCTCTCTCTCGTTGTCTCGTAATACGTCAAGGACTCGGGAGCGCGAACCAGGACGAACTCGCGTTCGTCCGTGTTTCTGGTATCTCGTACTGCGTCGCGTGTTACATGTGTATACGTGCGTGCGTTCCACGTGACGCAATCGGATGCCAACGGCTGCAGCAGATCCCGGGATGCTCGTGTTTCGCGGACGCTACCGGCTAACGGTCGCTGATACGTAATTAAGTAAAGCCAGACACGCATGCACGCACGCACGCACACGCACGTACACGCGTGCACACAAACAGCAAGCAGAAGCGGAACCCAGAATGACGTCAAGTCTGGTGTCCCTGGTGAATGGATTTCAGCTTCGAGAATTCAGCTTGTCGATTCGACCACAAGAGGCGCAAGCTGCTGATCGCGAAAAATCTCTCAGGTCGATCAAGCAGTCGCAACAAAGTTCATTTTCATGCACCAACAATATCTCTCGATAATTAAGTAGATTAGATTAATTTAAATATTGGACGAAAAGGGAAAAAAATAATTTTTTAAATAAAACTAATTTGTATTTTACACTTTTTCAAGCAGTACTCATGCAATTTGTTTCATCAGAGTTGATAAAGTCACCATATCGACAAAATTATTCATATTATTCAAACAAGTTCGTGACATATATTTTATCATTTTGATTATACTAGAAAATTTAAATTGCTGACAGGAAAGAGTTTCTTTATAAAGGAAATTAACGCTACGTCAACTAAACTAAGCTTCGTCTTCGTCATTACAAGTACAAAAATATCGGCAATTTTACTTTCTTTGTTAGCTTTCCAATAAGACGCCACAGAAAAGGATATTGCGATGAGTTCTATCATAGATCAGGCAGACACATGGGAAATGAATATCCACAGTATTGGGGTTTTCCACACGTTGAGAAGAATTGTTGCTGGTGAAGAACACGTTAGTCGCGGCCGCGGTGATACGAGTTTTCGACATTTTGATTTTGATTCGGTGCACAGCATCGCCAAGCCTCATGGCGTGGCAAGTGAATTCGTGCAGCAGGCCCGTGCCGGATGGCATGAATTCCTGAATGCCCAGCATCTCCAACAGCCGATGCATTTCCAGGTTCTGCTCGATATTGAATATTGGAAACAACATGTCTGTCTGCTGTGCTATCCCCTCATCCAGCAGTTTGTGAAGTTCTCGAGATCCTTCCTCGGTCATCAGTCGGTCTATCAGTTGGATAATTGCATCTCTTTCTGAGATATTACCTTTGATGGGTTCCGAATAGCATGATGGAAAGATGAAATACATTGAAATCTTTTTTTCTTTGAAAGGTATCTCCATGATGTATGCATCTAGCTGCTCAAACTTACCTAAAAAAAAGAACATTAAAATTAGAGACAGAGAAAGATTAAAATAGACAAATAATGATAAAAATATTAAGTAGTTTCTTATCAAATGTCAGATTTACATCAAAGATTTTCAAAAATTTATGTAATACTTTTTACGTTGCTCGAAAAAGAAAAAGCTATTTTTGTAATTTTGATTAAATTGTAGAAAGTATGAAAGTGTAAAAAACATTAGAAATTTGTTTTTGCTTCATTTCCTGCATTTATATGAAAATGTTTTATAATACAAAATAAAATACATAAATTTTTTGTTTATAATATAATTTAGAAATTATTAAAGACAATGATAAATGACTAAAATGAGATTGAAGTGACTAGTGACCATTATTGAAATTTTTTTTTGTAGAATCTTTTTTGTCTTTTTTGTCTTTTTGTCTTGTTTTCTTGCTAACACTAATGTCAGGTGTGGTATCAAGATCAAAACTAGGATCTAATTGACCCTCGCAGTAGATTATGTTCAGCAGGATTCCGTCGGTGTTGCTATTGATATTATCTGGTGGTAGGACATCCTGTATGTATTTTTGCGTAAGGCATTTAACAGTATTATTGACGAAATCCCTTGTATGGTCGGGACGATTGTCGAAATTAATTTCCTTCACCTGGTGATGGCCAGATGAAAATAAATTCATTGTTTCGGTGTATATCATTTTGCGTTCATTAACGAAAAGCCTACTAAAGATTCGACACGTGTAGGAATTCTCGGATCCATTCATCTAAAACAAGAAAATAAAAAAATAAGATCATGATATTCTCTCTTTCTCCTTCCTCCCTGAGACGGTAAATGCTTCTTACATTTTATATTTATATAAGTTATCACTGAATTTATTTGTTAATTACAATTGTCAAGATCTTAAGAATCCGCTAGCGATAAACACATCAGTTTCGTGAATACTTTGTATGACGATGTAAGACATGCGGGAGAGAATTACTCACTATGTAACAAAACTGATTGACTCCCCCCTCAATATAGTGTAGTTCGACAGTGGTTTTAGAAACGTCATCCGGAATATAGAGGACTTTTCTAAGAGAATTTTCGGTATCGTCGCTAGCCCCAAAGTACATCACGAGTAGATTCTGGTATATAAGATGCGGGCTAAAGAAAATGTTATTTTTCGGCTCCATCAACATACACTTCCTCAGGCTTTCGAAGGCGAATTTAAAGCGCGCGTCAGTTAACATCTTAAAAAAAAAACATGTGGAAATTGCCCAAAAATTTACAACCAGAAAAAATTATATTACAAAAATTGTATAAAAGTTGGATTAAAGGAAATAAAGGATCACAAATATATTAAATTATACAATTTATAATATTACATACGTGCGCACATACACACATACCCAGCAAACACAGTAATCACCGAGTGCGCAATTTGATAGCAAATTGCGCACTCGGTCATTACTGTGTTTGCTGGGTATGTTTTATCATGTACATATAATGTAATGGACATTTTGCTGAGATTGTTAGGATTATCAATTTATTAAATAGCAATAGAGCATACCTTTGAAGTAATCCTTTGGCTATCGACGCAATTCCAAATAAAGTTTAAAAATTGTCGATCACTAAGGGAGAAAATTTCTTTAAATCGACGGAACTGGCAGTGAAGTACAACAATGGTTATCCGTTCAATTTGTACTGTAAATGACGAGGCGAGTGTTCCGAATCTGATGTAAAGGATACAGTAAGATCAAATAATACATATAAGCAGTCAAGATCAATCGGTATTGTTATTTATGTTCACTTCTCGCGATTTGACGAGAATGCGGCAGTCACGTGAAAACTTGAAATAAAGGATAACAAATTCGGTACCAAGGACTTTTAGAGATTAGGATAAACGTGAAGTTTCGCGGATGTTTCGTTTATTGTTCATAGACTCTGGCGGTAGTATTCCCTGTAAATAATTATGTTCTACTTTGAGTTTATGATTCAAATTGATAATTTATCTCTATATTCACTCTAATATCTTCTCTATCGTATCTATATTGTCACTGGCGAATTCATCATCATAGAGTAGTTGAAATATTAGTTAAAAAACATATAATTACATGATATACATTTGTATACATATATAAGTATTTTTATTAATTTTTTCTTATTACATAAATCTCTGCATGCAACGTTTTTAATCGATCGTCATTACAATAAGTTTTACGTCCGGCAGAAACTTTCGAAAAATGTCAATCTCCCGTTTTTGGTACATTTTTTAATTTAATTCCAACATCGCGATTAAAATCGGCATAATTTCGTTGCATTTCGATTTTTTTTATCACATAAAAATAAATCTTTCTTATTTACTTGTAAAAATTGGAATAAAAATCTTTCATTTGTATGTAGTAATTAGTTGAAAAAATAGTACAACTATAGATAATAATTTTGTACGCGTTTTTTTTTCTACACAAAAATTGTTTTAAATATACGTTAAAAACCATATAATAATTAATTTTAAGCAAGAAATATTAACGTGGAAAGTATATTATAATATTATTTTTGCTTCCTCTCATAGACTCTAAATAAAATTAAAAATGTCGGTAATTATCGACATTCTTAATTCCATTCGATCCCTACATTACCATTCTGACTAAATATGATGGGAAATACATGTGTATATGGACACATGCAATGTTGTAGCTATTTTTGGCTACATCCAATTCCAAAAGTTGCAAACAAATGTACGAAAACGAGAACATAATAGGGGAGACCGGGGCTATTCGTGACACTGCTGAAATTTTGTCGCGGGCCTAACTTTAAAATGCTTGCTGCTAGAAACCTGTAATATCAATCACAGATGTTTCTTAGTGTCCTCTAGGTACCAACGGAATGGCATTTGCATGTCAACCATTTTTCTCTCTCAGTGACAGAAAGTTTGATTTCAAGTGCTCAAAGTAAATTTTTTCAAATCCCAAAAATTTGTTTTCACGCCGAATAAAATAATAAGAGATCCGAAACGGTAAGTTGTATTTAGTCACTCAACTTCACTAAGCATAATGCATGAGTAGATTTTATGGTATTCTTTCTTATCTGTTAAGTCACGGGCATTTCGTGACACGAGCAATCGAGGCAACCACAAACGCCACGAATAAGCGTTCAAAGGAAAAACCAATTTGCAGGGGCGCGGACGCCTTTGAGAAGTGATTTCCCGTAATCGAATGTGAGCAATGAAGGCAATTAATGGAACAGGCGTTACATTTTTCCTCATAATTTTGTATACATATAATATGTAAATTCTGACAAATAAAGGCTTTTTCAAAGTATTAAAGTAGATAAAAATTGCAAAAACAAAAGAAATCTATATAGTTTGTTCAATCAGAGAAAGTGTTACTCATTATCTCGTGATTTGCCACGAATTACCCAGGCTTCGGGGCAATTTGTAATACATGACACAGCGATACATTTCTTGATATATTTCGAGACTCGTGAGAGAAAAACCTATATATTTTTTTTCTTTTAAACTAGAGAGATGGACGATTACATCGCACTAATAAAAATTTTTTAAACATTTATACGAAGCGAGAAAAAAATTCGAAACAAAAATGTGTCACGAATAGCCCCGGTCTCCCCTATACAAACTATCTGTTCTTGTCTAACAGATGATTGCAGCACCATCTCTCCTAAGATCTGGCACTTACTATTATTGCTCTTCTTACCATTCTGCATCTGTGTATTTGCATTTATAAAATTTCTTTTTAGAAAATCTTTTTTTCTAGACTTTGAATCTTAGTTCTAATATGCACGATATTGTTCCTGCATGTTGTCCCTTTTCTCCGCGAATGTCTCATTTTGTATGTATTAATTATATAATTCTTGTATTTTAAGCAAATATTATCGTGAAATGACAGCTCAACGTGTCAAAAAAGTGATATTTAAATATTTTTTTTCGTTTTTAATATATACTTGATCGTTATTGTCTTCATTTTTGTGCATACCCCAGGTAGCAAGCACTCGTCATTTTGCCGTCAATTGACGTCAGAAGGCTGTCATTTTGACGTCTTTTGACGTCAAAATGACGAGTGCTTGCTACCTGGGACTTTAATCGTGTAAAAGAATTTTGCAAAGTCAATTCAAAGATATTATCTTAAAATGGAAAAATGTCGATAATTGTGTCATTCCAGGATCCCCTTAATACAACAAAGAAGTATCAAATCTTTACGTTTTGAAGAAAGTAAGAAAAAACTTTTCCGCTCGAAAATAAAATCGAAAATGAAAATAAATTTCTCCGCTGCTCCAAATATATATAATATATATATATATGTATAATACATTTAAGATGGTTAATTTATATTAAACAATGCAACAATATTCATAAACTATTTTACTTTTTAACATTGACTGTTTTTTTTAATATTATATAATAATGTAATATAATTATATTTAAACATTTTAGAACAATTATATTATTAAGAACAATTATGTTTAAAATTTTAATATTACATAACTTGGGTTTAGAATTAAAAACAGTCTACATTCTTGAAAACTATAAAGAAATGAAGAAAATATTTTTAATTAATGTGTATATACATAGAAAGTTTTGCTTATGTACATAGGAATTTATTTTAGTTGAATTTTTAGTTTGAATTATCAATTATAATTTTTATGACAGTAATTAGAGTGATAGAAACGTTAAGACCCAACGATCATGATATATAATAGTCAATATAATTCTTAATTATATAAAATTTTTGGATATTAAATACGTTATTGTTACAATATGACTTTTGTTGTAAAAGCTATATAATATTACCTGCATTAATTTCGCACATAATGAAGATTGATTCTAATCATTATTTCTTAGTTTTATTACAATAAGTTTATAGTCTAATTATTTTGAATATGCAGCCGCAATATAGTAAAAAAGTTTCTAATTTTTATTTTGCTTTGTTCAATTAATTTGTTTACGGAAAAGCACAACATTTATTAAAGTACAAAGTTATTACATTAATTGATATACATTGAATAAAAGAAAGAAAGATTATCATCATCTCTCATCATTATATTGAAAATATGTTAAAATATAAGAATTATAATTATATTATATTATACAATAATATTATATCATATTATTATATTTAAATAGAAATATGATCGATATTCATTTTATAAATTCTAAAACTCACCAAATAATTATAAAGTATCGCTGATTTTCATTCAAAATTGATTCAATACCGTTTTTGTACAAAGTATTAACAACTTCACTATTTGTGCATCACATATATTATTTATAAATATATTTATGTATATACATATGTATGCATGTATATGTATATTACAAGCATTTCAACACGTGGACATCATATACCTAACCTCACTTATTTTTACACAACTTTCTGCAGAAACTCATGCGTTTAGCATGTACGTATGCAATGGCTTCATCGCTAGCGCTCTCTTACGTCGCAATTTACGAAAAGACGACGACTCCACATAGCCAAATCTGTCGAGAACAGATTTTGAAAATGTCTGCCGCAAATTTTGTCGATAAAATACCAGCAGAAATGTAGCAGATTCTGCTAACAGAATATATATAATGGCAGAAACTCGGTCTGTCAGGTTATATCAGCAGGCTCTGTCGGCAAAACAAGAGTCGCGAAATTTCTTACAATAAAAAAAACAATTTATTTAATCAACTTTTACATTAAGGGGATGTTGGAGCTGTCTGTTTTACCGACATTTTTTGTCGGCACGTAGCGTCGTATTAATTTGACAGAATTAAAAATCCTTCTCCAGAATTGCAGTACATACATTAATGATTCGGGGAAACTCCGATTTTATATAGAAAACGAGAAAACATTACGGAAGTACAGATTTCCTTATCCTACTCTTATCCCAATATGGCGTCTCGAGTTGCGGCGAGCTGTCAGCTCGTCACAAGATGTATTTCATATAAGAGATATACCATTGGTACGAATGCGAAAACAAGTTCCCCCGAATTGCACAACAAGAAAAACATCGATAAACCCCCCAAATCAAGATTTGGAAGCGTAATATAAAAGTATAATGTCGGTGTGCATTGTGCGTATGTGTGCGTGCAATGTAGCGTGCTATCCTTGTCTATATCTTTGCCTATACAAGGACAGATATAGTTCGCCGATCTTCTTTACCGACGCCGATCGAGTTCGGCTACGGCTCCAGCATCCCCTTAATACTTAAATTTACACAGTACGTACTATGCTAAACGAATACCAGTGTATGACGCTATGACGAGATCATTTACCTTTCAAGGAACTGCGGTGAACTGAACTTGCAGTTCGAGATTTCCCTTTTATAAAGTCCAAAAAGGGTCTTATCGTTTTTCAAGAAAATTTCTAAATGATTCATTTTTCTTTTACTATCGTTGTATAAATACGTAACATCGAAAAATACATGATATTGGAAAATTAATTTTCAAAGGTTATTGAATTCTCTTAACCTTTAAACACATATGTTGGGTATGCCATACCCGGTCGGTTCTTTAATCACGTGCCATTTCGAAACGGATGACGGTAGCGGTCCGGTATGGGCGTGTAAAAAAACTTTGAGGTTTCGTCTTGAACGTCGAATTTGAAACAGCGTCAGACTCGCCGTAGAAGCCGAGCAAAAAGGTAAGAAAGTTTGTTTTGGGTATGCCATACCCACGTTATGTGTTAATGGAATTTTTTGAGATATTTTATTTTACTTATTTACCGCAATATATCAGATAATTTGAGGTTATAATCTTACAATACGGATTATTTAAGGTTATGTTATTTCATTTATACCACAGTATGGGTGCATTCGGGGAGACGCTATTAACGCTATAAACGCAAACGCTATGAACTTCGTTCGAAGAGCCAATAGCGCGACAGCGATAGCAAGCTCCCCGAACGCAGCTTAAGCGCCAATAGTATTTCGTGCCTCACCTCGAAAATAATAGCGAAAATAGCGCGAGTGATGACGTCACGCTGCCTTTACAGTGACGTCATCATCGTATATCACAGCGCCACAAAGCGTCTCCTCGAACAATTTTGGACGATAATTGTGCTAATAGCGTGCTCCCCGAATGCACCCTATATGTCACTCTTAAATCCGGAAAAAGTCACTTATGCTATTATTTGTTCCGTAAAAGCCTAGTTAGTGCATAATAAAATCAGTATGAGTGAAAGAGGTGGATATCGTTTTTGCTTCAAAGGCTGCCAAAGTGCAAGTAGTGAGAGATGAGGGATAAAAGAAACTTTGTTTCAATTTCCAAAAGATACAGAAAGGTCAGTTTATTATGTGACTTATGTTAAAATTATCTTTGCATTTAAAGTTGAGCTTAATTTTATTTTTAAATCATATTCTATAATCAGTTGTTAAACAATTAATGAAAGTAATATCATAAAAACTTAAGAAAGGCTATTGCTTGAAGGTCAAAATTGTGGGTATTAGCTTGTGGTCGAGAGGAATTGATTTCAAAGACAGCCATACAACTTTATAATAGTTATAGAGTATGCAAACTCCATTTTACAAATGATATGTTCTTAAATTATGAGAAAACGAGATTGCAGCCACATGCCATTCCAAGTTGTATTGTGAGAAATAATGTTAAGTTATTTTCAAATACTACAATAACATTAGAATAACATTATACATGATATAATATCATTTCACAGATGAAGAAGCAAGTTCAAGTAGTTTAAATATAGAAACACACTGCATAAACACCTTAAATATTGAAAATACACAAGAAGAAAATACTGTATTGGATAGGAATATATTGAATGAAAAGGACCAGGATGTAATGCGTATAGTGCAGAACAATAGCAAAAGTATCAGATGTATCAGAATCAGAAACACAAACGCCTTTGTCACTATTTTCTACACCTCCACGAAAAGTACATCTTTATCAACACATATAAGAGGATATAAAAGGAAGATAACCAATTTGGAATTACAATTGCAGCAAACGAAAAAAGCAAAAAAGAAGATATTAATACATTACATATGTTACTAGACAAATATTTTATAAAAAAAACATCCGAATTTTAAAAAATGCAAGCACGTCTCTTTCAAAAAAAGGCAAAAGGTAGAAGATACGATAGTACTTCATTCAAACAACATTGTTTATCCATATATTTTTCAAGTCCTAAAGTATATAGAGATTTAGCAAATAAATTATTTTGTTTACCTAGCTGTGCAACTCTAAAAAGATTTACACAAAACTGTTATATATGTCCAGGATTACAAGAGAACGTATTTCAAATACTAAAAATGAAGACTGACGGTTTGTCAGAAATTAATAAATACTGCATACTTTGTATAGACGAAATGTCTTTAAAAGCACACTTATTTTACAATATAACAACAGACAAAGTTATAGGATTTAAAGACATAGGATGTTCACAGAATTGTTCACGGTTGCCTGCATGTAATGTAGCAGTAATTATGGTTAAAGGCATCTGTCAATCATGGAAACAACCATTAAGGGGATCCTGCAGTGACTGGCGAACTTCCTCGATGTCGATAATGTCAATCTTTCTAATTTTGTTTTCCCTATATCTGTCTTTGTCTAACGAAATGACATCTGTCCTTTTTTCGATTGCTCGCCATCTCTCGCAAGATCCGGCAACTACTGTTGCTGCTCTTCTTGTCATTTGCATCCGTATTTGCATTACTAAAATAATTTTTCGATGGATCTTTTTTTGTACGCATTGAATCTTACTTCTACTTGCACAATATTATTCCTACATGTTTTCCCAAGGGCAGATGATAAAAATTATGTATGTATAAACTGCAGAATTTTTGTTTTAAGCAAATATTGTCGTCAGGTGACAGCTGCGTATGTGCCCAAATAAGTAATATTTTTAATTTTTTGGTGTTTTTGATATAAAATCGCGTTTTCTACCTTAGATTTTTGTGCGTACTTTAATTCTATACCAAAAACTTGCAATTCTGTAAAGCCAATTAAAAGATCCATCGAAAAATGATAATGTCGGTAAATCATACGGCTGCAGGATCCCCTTAAGTTATTTCTTTTTGAACTCCACAATGAAGGCTTCTGATTTACTGAAAATTATACCAAAAGCAGTAAGAAAGCTAAGAAACATTGGTTTGAAAGTTGTTGGTCTTACTTCAGATATGGGCTCCAATTTTTATCAATTAACCCGATTACTAGATGTTACTGATAAAAAACCATATTTTACAGTAGACGATCAGAAAATATTTTACTTTTTTGATGTGCCTCACTTGTTAAAAGCAACTAGGAATAACTTATATCAACACAATTACGTATATGATGGGGATAAAATTGTTACATGGAAACATATAGACGACTTTTATGTAATAGATAAAAAAGCACAATTTAAAGCGGCTCCTAGATTGACAGCCATATTAACCCAAATAATTTCGACAAAATAAAAGTTAAATATGCAGCACAGATATTTAGCCACTCTCTTTTGGCTGGTATAAACACATATGTAAATTTAGGTTCCTTATTAGGTACCGCCTAGCGGCGGCTATTTTCACAGCAGATTTTATAGGAATATTTAACAAATTATTCGATATTTTAAATTCTTCAAAAATTTATAGCAGCAATTCTAACAAACAAGCATACATAAATACAAACGAGCAAGTCACTTTTCTCAATGAAACAATACAGTTTTTACAAGGCGTAAAAGTAATTAGAAAAGATGGAAAGGATATAACAAATTCCATTAAATCAATTAGATGTTGGATGGTTAAAATTAATTCCGTATTACAGTTATGGAATTACTTGCAATAATCATGAACTCCTATTCAGTATTTATTAACTAGACAACTAAATCAAGACAGTTTTAAAAACTTTTTTGGAGCCGTACGTAAACAAAGTGGAAATGCATTTAATCCTACACCAATACAATTTTATCATGGCTTTAAAAAACTATTTTCTATTGATTACATTAAAGCAGATAGCGGAAATTGCGCAGCTGATGAAGATATAGATAATTATGATTATCGTAATTTGCCAGTAACTGAAGAAAATGTTTTTATTTACATTTGTGGATATTTATTGCGTCGCCTTTTTGCTAAACATTCTTGCGATACATGTGCATTACTAGCCGAAAGAGATTGTAATTTAGATGAAGCTCGTTTATACACTTATTTTAAAACGTATAATAATACAGACGATGATAAGTTTGGCAGTTTATATGTACCAAGTGCAGTATCTGTTATTTAAAGACACTTCAATACACTTGTATGTGCTTCTATAACAATTTTTAATATCAACTATATTACAGTTTAAAGTTTATTATTTTTATACATTTATTAATTATATTTAAACAAGTTATAAAAATTAATAAAATGTGGCAGATGGCTGATCGCAACACACATTCAGACGATTGGTGCCCGACGAATATTTCCCTGTTGGGACGATCCGCAAATAAGGACCACTTTTGACATCTCTATACAGCATCCCAGTAATTCTGTAGCTTTATCCAACATGCCGACACAAGGTTATGGTGTGACTAATGATAATAATAATGATACAACAACATACTTCTTTACTACACCTCCACTATCCACTTACAACTACACTCGCATTAACAGTGATGTTTCTTTGTGGTGCAGAGAATGTGATAGAAAGAATACTTTTAAATTCGCTAAGCGAGTTATAGAAACTGTTACGTCGCATTTGGAATCTGAATTTAAAGATTTAAATAATCGACAACTGGATCATGTTGCAATTCCAAATTTTCCAGAAGATAGCACATCGAAATGGGGACTCATCTTTTATAGGTAATACACAATTTAAAAGACATACGATTCATCAAGTAATAAAATTACTTATATTATTCGAATTTTATTCTTAATCATTTGCATTATTTTTATGCGTAATTATCAATGAATTATAATAAATTAAAAAAATAAGTAATAAATATTGTGATATATTAAATATTGCGTAATTTTCTCTAGTTTTTTGGTAAAAAGGTAAAACAAATTTCACATATTATACTTCGAAATTAATTATATACATTTCAAACATTTCACATTTATATCAAAATGTATAAAAAATATACATGTACATTTACCTGTACTACCTTTTCAAATTTGTAATTTAATATATTGCAAGATATAACGTTTTAAATTTTACATGTAAATAGGTAGATATTTATTTCATTGACAATAATATAATAAATAATATATACATATATATTATAAAGAAATATTTAGTTTATAATTATAAATCTGTTGAAATCCATGGCTCGCAGAATATTTAATACAATTTTTTGTTATGTTTATTAAATTAAAACCAAGTTAAAAACTAAAATTACATATAGTTTAGTATTTATCTAATAAATAACAATATATATAATTAATGTATCGACTAAAGACCATAATACATGCTTACAAAGATTTAATATAACTGATAAAAATTATAATATCTTTTAGAGAAGAAAACCTTATCTACAATGAGCAGGATCCGATTATGCGCAAAATAGAAGTCGCGCGCTTAATTGCACATAAAATAACATATCAATGGTTTGGTAATGCAATTAGTTCATCACGATGGTCTTTTTTTTGGCTACATGACGGTCTTGCTACTTTATTCGGAGAAGAAGCTATTGTTAAGGTTTTTATATTTACTATTGCGACAATATTTAACATTTATCTAAAAATTTTCACTCGTTTTTATTTTTATAAACATTGGATGCGAATAAACTTTCAAACTTTTAAAGTGTATTAAGAGAAAGTCAAGTAAAATTATTAATACATTTACACTGTAAATACAAAAGTATCTCGTAAAGAACTTAACCTGCACTAATTAATTCGACATTTAATTTTTTATTTTCATACATAGCAACTTATTTTATTACTCTTTTATTATTCCTAATTTTAATTATATAAAACAAGACAACTTTTTTAGCAAAATGTGCATAATATGTCCGTACTATGATCTAGTGCAGAAACACGCACTAGATTATAGTGCGAACATATATTTTGATCAACACTAAAAGAAAATTTATTATTTGCAAGAAAATAGATTTCTTTAAATTAAATTTCCTTAATTCAAAAAAATAGTAGATTTAAGAAAATATTTTAAACTCAGAAAAATTATTTTCTTAAATCTACCCAATACTTCTTTAAATTAAGGAAACTAAATTCAAAGAAATTTATTTTCTTGCAAATAATAAATTTTTTTTAGCGTAACATTTATAGTGAAACTTTTATTTTTAGACCTTGAATAATTCCGAGATATTGGACTTCTTCATAGTTCAGAATCAATATGAATCTCTTCATTTAGATGATTATTTTAAAATGAATCCTCCACTAATGAATAACCTATCGGAGATCAATTCACTTTTCAGTTTTCCTTGTTGTATCAAAGGTAACATTATGTAAATATTTTAAATTTGCAAAAATAAATATTATTAAATAAAAAGAAAGAATGTAGAAGTAAAATTTAGTTTAAATATTATTTAATAACATTTTATATATCTTTCGTCGTAGTACCTATTGTTTTACGCATGCTCAAAAACGCAATCACCGATAAAGCATTTCGAAGTGGTATCCACACATATCTACACCAGCAGTGAGTAACAATTATATTATGATAATTACTATACAAGCTAGAATAATTTTATTTGTTTACTACTATACAAATAATTTTATTTGTTTACTACTACACAAATACTATAATAGAAACAAATACAAAATGTATAAAAGCAGCCAAAGTTAAAAAAAACTTTTTTCATTTTTTGTTTACATTATTTACTATACGTCTGACATTCCAGTTTTATTTCAGTATTTTCCTTTGTTCTGGTCGTGAGCAAATTAAATGTATCTCACCATTACTGTTTTGACTCCTACTTTCCATTTTTTATTAAAAATCTTTCCGCATTTTTTTAAGACCTTTATTCACTCTTGTCTACTGACTTCTTTAATTCATACACGGAATTAAATTATTCTTTATATACTGTTATTTAAAAATGTAAATTTAAGTAACTAAAAGTATTTATATTTATTGTAAATTTTCACTGTTGTATTGCGAAATATAATGTATAATAATATAATATACGTACAATATAATGTAAAATTGTATTACGTTCTATTATATACATACACATATAGAGGGGTAAAAATCATACAATGTATAAATTTGCATCTATGCACACGAGTCAATATTTAAAAAAATTTGATACACTACTATATGGCTTTTATCCCTCCATACTCATACATACATACATACATACATACTTATTAATATAGATATACATACATGTATATATATATTTATGCTTATATTTATATTTATATTTAATTAATTATAACGTTTACTGTCAATAACAATATTTTTTTTTAAATTTAGCATGTTTAAGTCAGTGACTTTTTATGAATTCTGGTTAATACAAGTAGTCACAGCTGAGTCGTATGGCTATCACATAACAGACAAGTTCTTAAATTGGATATTGTATGAACATTATCCTTTCTTGAAGTGGACACAAAATGGCTCTTTTTACGTAGAATTAGCACAAGCTTCAGATTTCAGTACATTACATTATGGTAATTGGTGGATGCGTATAAATGTAATTGTAAAGTCTTCTTCAGGTCAGAGCTACAAAACAAGGCAAACACTGGAAAGACACGCTTCAATTTTTGCACTCGTTATTCAGGGTGACATGATAATAGTCGACATTCAGCAAACTGGTAAATATTTATCAAGCAATTTATTATGCATGTATGATTATTTTCATATGAGTGTTCGGAATTCCTATCGCTACTTTTTATTCGTATTTTTTACTTATGAATATTTATGATATTCCACATATTGCATAATAGAGTACATAATAATATTTTGTATAAAATATTATACGTTCCCTCCATTCTGCTTTTTAATGAATATAATACAAACTTTATTATTTACCTCTCTTATTACCTTTTACTTTTACATACTTAAATTTATATAAAGTCATAAAGTACTATATACTTCTCATAAACCTTTATTGCGATATTTTAAGTTATTAGTAAAATGATCAAGAAATAACAAAAATTAAATATGCATAACATGTAATTATTTCCGATATGCCTCATTTGTGTTCTACTATAATACAAAAACAAAAAGAAATTAATGTTAAAATATTCTTATTAATTTATTTAATCGTATATAATTCAATACTTTTGTATTGTACAACAGGATATTATCGGTTTGAATATAGCGATGAAAATTGGCACAAAATTGCACATTATTTAAATTCATCAGAATATAAAAATGTTAGTGCCATCAACCGAGCGAAAATTATTGATGATGCATGTTATTTCACGATTGCACGAAAATTCAATATTAGACGTGCGATGGATATTCTTACGTTCTGGAAAATCACAAATTACTTACGTCAAGAGATAAATTATGTAGCGTGGTATCCTATGTTCAAAATGTTTGAATATTTATCGACTCTGATTCCATTTAGTGAACACACAATTGGTACCTTTATTAAGGTAAACAGCATAGATTTTAATTAATAAAAGATAATAATTAGTTGGCATCATTGTCCTCTGTCATTATATCGTCATGTGTAATTTCTATAGAAGATGAAATATATCCGAATGACAAGATTCAACTATGATTTTATTTTAAGATAAAGAACAAGAAATTGATAGTAAAAAATTATTTCTTGTTTCTTGTATTACACGTCGCATATTAACTAAATCCTTTTAAATTAATATTAATTTTAAAAGTTTTTATATAAAGAATATTAATCTCACCCGCGCACATATTATGTTTCTTATAATAACACATAAATATAAAATTTACGTTATTTTAGCAAAAACTTAAAGAATTATTGGTTGGCCCCTTTGAGATACTAATTGTAAGTTTGGAACATTTACCGGAGAACGATCTTACTATATGTTTAAAACAAGAAATCTTTAAGTGGGCATATACACTCCGACACAGTCCGTGTTTGGAAATGGCTCAAAGAAAGTTACTAATGCATTACAAAAATCCTGCAAGCATGTAAGCGTCTGTATATTTATCGTTATAATTAAAGCACATTTCTTGTATTTCGCGCCGTACTTGATTAATTTTCTCACCGAAAAACGAACATCAAGCAAGGTTTTTATATGTATGTAATATATGTTCTTATTTCTTTTCTCAAATTAATAGAAATTCACCAGAGTGGAAGGAATGGGCGTTTTGTAAAGGTTTACTAAAAGCTAATATGTCTGTGTGGAACATCGTAAAATACAGATGGATGAAGAATAAACAATATGAACTTTTACCATACTTAGCTTGTACTCGAGATCCTTCTATCATTTTGGAATACCTACCGTATGTGTTGTGGAATCCTATGACATATGAAACCCAAGATACTGCAATTATCCGCTCTTATATAAACATTTTTCATACATTTGTTGCGAAGCATGCTAACAACTATTTCATCTTCACGAATGTTTTATTGAATCTCAAGCGAATAAAACCCAAGTAATTATATTTTTTTATAAATAAGCATTGCTTTTAATAATACATTCGCTTTTACAAATGTAATTAAAAACGTCTCTATTGATTGCTTTTATAGAGAGATTAGTATAATTGTAGCATTAACGGATATCATTAACCATGTGTATTCTGAAAAGCACCTCAATGAGGTAAGTAAAATGAAACCAAATATAATACACACACACACGCGCGCGCGCGCCCGCGCGTGTGAGCACGCATGCAAATGAGAGGAATAAGAGAGGGTGTACCTACATATGAGTTTGTTAAGACGTATATTTGTGTGTGTATGTGCGAGTATGTGTGTGGGGGGAGGGCGTGGATATGAAGAGAAATTTGCTCTTTGTCTAAACTCTAAATATATGAATACGTGTATATGCATGTTTGCAAAAATACCGTATGCACGCGGTAGTATGCATTTTAACATTGAAAACAAAAAATTGTTGTACAATAATATGCTAAATTCAACCATTACTGCGGAGTAACCGTAAATTATTTATTAAACGTAAAAATTAAATTTTGTTTTAGATACTCATTCATTTGGAACAACAAAAATATATAACTGATGACCAACAAATTTCAGAAATTCAACACAAGATACAAATACGTTTATCTCAAATTAGAGATCAAATAGATTATTTTCAATTTTTAGTTTGATTATTTTACAGTTTGAAAAACCATATATTTACATATTTTGATGTGTAGTATCTCGAATTATTTAAAAACGATAACACGTGCTGATCTATTGTGCTCAAATATCTTTTTCAATTTTGAATATTTTGTTATATTATGTTTTTTTTATTCGTTCCTAATGATAAAGCTTATATCCTTTTCATTATATGTCTTGTATCTATATGTCGTTTATATCTTTAGGTATGCGTTATTTTAGCATATTATTAGTTTCAAAATATTAACATTACTATTGTTCTTGTATGATTTGATATTTCATATTATATTAATATTGTTAATGTCCTAAAACTTACATAAAGAGTGCGCATGTTAATTATAATTAATAATAAACTTTTTATAATTATCTTACGTCTCCCTCTCTCCCTCTCTTTTTCTTTTCCCCCTCCCCCCTCTCTCTCTCTCTCATTCCTCTCGAAAACAATAAGTGTTCCTTACACAATTTACATTATAAGTTACCTTATTCGAGTTTACTTGTTAAGTATAATTTTTAAAATCTTGAGAATCCGAGACACTGACAATAAATGGCATATATATCCTCGCACATTTCATATGATATCAATCGCGTAGAATTACTCATCCTGTAAGATACAGTAGCAAAATTAATTAATTCCTCCCAAGAAATAGTTTTGTTGGATTATGGCTTTAGAGACGTCATCGGGGTAAAACTTCCGAATAGCCCCTAAATTTAATGAAACTTGCAGCAATTGTAGAGCATTAAAGGACACGCCCACACTATAAAGGATTTTGTACGGAAACAAATAGGAACGGAGAAATTAAAAAAATACAAATGGTAAATTGTATGATTTACTAATTACTATAATTAATGATTACTGATTACATATTAATATATGTGTGTACAGACAGTACATATAAGCATACATATAAACGTGGGAGCGGCAAAGAGAAACCAAAACCTAGACCAAAAATTCAAAAGTAAAATAAAAAATTTAAATATTTAAAAAGTTAAAACTAACCTATACAACCTAAACCCAAACCAACCTAACCACAGAAAAAAGCTGTTGGAAATTCATTTCTCATTGGTCAAGAGACGTACTTAATCGCAATCACAGTCGCGGCCGCGAGCCGCTAAAAGCGACAGAGGAAGCTTCATGACAAGAGAAAGACGCTTTCGAACTATAGATTAATAATAAATGAATATCTTTGCCTTACTAAATAGATGAGTCTACAATATACTAAAAATAGATACAGAAAAGATTAGCAAGACCCCAAGGTAGGGCGTTGCCCCTCTCCCCACAACCACTCTCACTGCCAACGCCTGTTTCACGACAGCTAGGTGCTTTGCCCCCACATCCCCATCTAGGGCCTCTGTCACGCAATAATGTTTCAAATTCGCACACTTCTTGCATACGCATGTGATTACAGAGAAATCCGTGTGGGGTAGGGCCTATTTTAACCTACACCACTCAAGTTTCATCAAAATTCAACCACTAGATTGTCTATAAATTCCCACACAGCAAAATATATCTGAGATAGCCAGATTCGGATTGTTTTATTGGCTATAACGAATAAATTTGAGTTGATCTTTATAAAATATAAGAGCTAACTATGAATCGGCCATATATTCGACTGCAATGTTACAGAGATGTCTTTTTCAAAGATATAATGTAGTGATATCGAGTAATAATGTCATGTAGATATTCTGTGAATATCTGAAAATAAGATATCTCAGATTTGACTTGAAATTGTAGACATAAAATCTCAGATATATTTGGCTGTGTGGGTTAGAATAAAAATTTTGAATTTTTTACGCCAATTTCTCCGTTCCTATTTGTTTCCGTACAAAATCCTTTATAGTATGAACGTGTTCTCTAATGGTCAACAATTGCTGCAAGTTTCATCAAATTCGGAGGTAGGGAATTTATGTTATAAATATTTATAGAAATAATAACTGGAAGTAATAATAAATATTACCGAAAATATCAAATAAATATTTATACTAAATATAAAAATAATGCTCCTACAATTTATTTTAAAAATATTATAATCTTTATTCACATAAAAGAAAATATTCAAATATAAAATATTTTATTTTCTTTTAATTTTTCTTGACTATATATATCACAATATATATATATATATATATATATATATATATATATATATATCACAAGTTTTGTTTTTCCTGATTATAT